CAAGATCTGTACGTACTCGCGACAGGCTACAGTGGTCAGCTGCGTAACAAAGTGCCCAACATGATGAGAGAGTGCGATTTCCATCAAGTAAGTAATTCTTTATTATTTTGATGATGAACTGTCCAAGAAGGCGTGTGACAGAGACAACACTATGGAGCCGAAACATGGTCCTTGTCTCTTTCTAAAGACCAACATACAGATATTTACCATCGAGAATTGAATACAATAAATAAACGTAAAACGTAAATTTTTTTTGGGTAAAACATGATACATTAAATATGTTAGTCATTTAGTTGGTAACATCAAAAATATTATAGATCGGAGATCAGCAAAAGGTGTTGGCTGCAGCAGCAGCGCCCGCCGCAGCGGTGAAGGAGGAGACCGCGCCCGTCAAACAAGACGCCGAAGCAAGCACCTCCCCGCAACCCGCCGGTAAGAAATTTCTAGAAGTCTGTTAGATATTCATTCGATTTGTACTGTATTGATTTCGAAATTATTTTAGAAAGGATGTTACAAAAAATTTTCTTTTTGCAAAATATTTTTATTTAGTATGTGAGTTGATTTCTATGACTTTCATTAAAATACAAGATTTCTATAAAATAGTCCAAAAAAACTAGAAAACATTCACCTCAATGTTTTGTTTTAGATTCAGATAAAAGAGAGTCAAGGAACAGCGACAAAAAGCGAGAGGAGTCCGATCGCGATAAAGAAACGAAACGCGAGTCCAGATCGTAAGTTTAATAATTTTATATTATTTTACTTAACCATGGTAATAAAATAAACGTAATTTTTATCAAATAATTTTCTTGGTCTTTATACGTCACTTCATTTAATCCTAAATGTTTTTATTTTAGATCCCTCAAAGAGCGAAGTAAAGAAGAAGCAAGAAGCAAAGATAGATCGCCCAGAGACCGATCACATAGAGTAAGTATACGATTTTATTTTAATATAATTAATAAACAAAAAATTCTCGATAATGTTAAGAAGAAAATCCGACACTGTGCCGATGTACTCGGGCAACACTACCCTTACTAAAATGTCGACGTTTATGTCCCCTCACTAATCATTCTGACACTTGACTTTGTAATAAAAGCGCGCCATTAGCGCCAAATGTGTCTAAAAATAGTAAAAAGTTTGATTTTCACCAAAGATATTTCAAACATTCTTCACATAAAATGACCTAGAATCATAGAGATTTAATATTTAAGATTTTTTTCTAGGAGGAGCGTTATTTGGAAGCCGTGTCACCTCCACATGACCACCGTCATCCACCTGACGATATAGATCGTGGTATGTTGTCATCTCAATCTACTATTTTTACAACGAAAAATCGCGCTTGTTTTATATTATTGCTTAACTCCTATTTTATAATTTCAGTAACCTTTCCTAGGCTGTGTCCTACGACTATGATATATATTTATATATTTTTTTCTATTCAACAGACGTGAAGCGTCGCAAAGTAGAAAGCAGCGGCTCTGGCAAGGTGAGTATTGTTGTGATAAACCGAGGTCGCATCCCGCTCGCGCCGGACTGACGATTGGGCTGGACAACATCCGACTTCGCTAAACTAACACAAAACTAAATGTGCTCCCTCCTCTTCTACAAGTGTGGACTATAGACTGTTCAGTGTGAAAACAATAAGACTTTCAACCAATAGTGTTTAAATTAAAAAAAAAAAATAAAAAAACAAAAAAAATCAACAAATAAATGAAAAATGGTGAGACATCAAAAGAAGAATGGATATCGTTCAATGATTGAAGATTTCTTCACATCATTTATATAAAAAAAAATATCAACTAACAAGTTATATAACACAGAAATAGAAGTTGCTTTACCAAGACAAGACCAACAAGAGCGTAGATCTTGCAGAAGAAAACTGATATGGACCACTTATAATGGAAGTCAAAGTACAAGTATTACCACTTGATTACCAATCAATTATCCAAGAAACATTCAATATATATATTTACTTGACAAATAATTAAAAATTAACAAACAATACATCGTGTCGAAGTTTAAATCATCATATTAAAAATGTACATAAACTAAATTAAATTATTATTGAATGCACATTATAAGAAGCCAACGGAAATCATTTAAAAAGTACAAAATTATGTTATCTCTATGATTATAATAGTTAAAAATCATCAACAATAATTACGAAATAAGTAAAATAATAGAAAATCAATGAAGAATAATTTGGGGCCATAGACATAAAGAAGAAATGCAGAGGAAACTAGTTTGAATATATCATTTCAGAAGAATAAATGAAGATCATTTTCATCATGAATCGTTGAAGAAATTAAAACTATTTAAATCATTAGGACTTTTAATCATAAAAAATCAAAATGTGTGTCGTACGTCTAATCAGCCCAGTCCGTCATGTCGCAAATCGGTAAGGTTGGATAGTTTATTTTGTAATAATAAGTTAAAAGGGACAATGCTTTAAGACAATGTTTTCAAATATAAAGACTCGAAACAAAGTAACAGAATTATGAAGGAAATAAAACTGAAAGAAGTAAATCAATATCTTCTACTACTAAGAAGACCAAAGGAATATCCACCAACACTTTGAATAATGTGGTATATGAAGAAAGTTACATTAAGAAGAAAAACCAAAAAAGAAGAGCCTTGACTTTTAAAATATTGAGTGAACGAAATGAAACACAAAATGGAGCAGAGTATTTGAACTGAATACATGCAGTCTTCTGAGAAAATGTTCTTAACACATTGTGTCTTTTAACTAATTTATTTATTTTTATATATGTTATGAAGCATGATATTTTTTGTAAAAATGCTGCAGGAAACTTTTAAACTACTTTTCTTTCATGTTAAACCGAAAGTCGTAGGTGATAGTGTTTGTTTTACAAAAAATGTCACGCTATCGCGACAGTCTTTGTAGTGGCATTAATGAAATTATTTAGTCCACAATTCACGAAATAATGTAATATTTCTGCATGAGCAGGGTAGCAAAGATATCGAGGAACGTTCGCCAGAAAAGGAAAAGAGAAAGTCTAAAGTAAGAGGAGATGAACGTAAAGAGCGTAAGATGAGTCGCAAGAGGGTAAGCATTGTCTAAATTAATGACATTACATAAATACTATCACTTCACTATAATTATTCTTGGTTATATAAGTTTTATATGTTTTATTTGATCGAAACATTGATAACTATTTTTGTTTATCAGTAAGATTGCTAGTTCGTTGTGGGATTCAAGACAATTTTCTCTCAACTGTCGTACCGACATTGACGACGACTGAACATTATTTAAAAAAAAAAAGTTTCTTAGCAACTTTATTAAAAAAGTACATTATTATTTTCTATTGCTTCAATGAAATGTTCATATTTTCGAATGTAAATTACATGATTTTATGTTTAGGATAGAGCAGAAGAGACAGCTATTTTAGAACAAAAGAGGCGTCGGGACGAACAAAAAGGTTTGAAATACTTGCATATTTATTTGAAACATAGCCAATAGTCTATTGTATTTTTCAAATGGGGTATTTGCACTTTATCAATTGTTCATAACATTGGTATTTTTATATTGACCAAATTAATTCATATTTCTATATCACACAGCTGTGGTGAAAATGGGCAACCATCAAAATGGTTCGCAGGAGGATCACCACTACGAAAAGTATCATAAAAGGGTAAGAACATTTCTATAGTTGTAAACTTGTTGATTTCACTTGGTGTGCTTTATTGTTATTTTTTTTTCAGGATAAATCGCCTTTCCGAGACCGTTCCCACGAAGAACCTAGAGATAAACAATATCCTTTTAAATAACTATTATGATTAGTATAAGTGTAATATCTTTTATATTAACAACACGTTATATTCTAGCCAAGACTTCGTCTTCGGTAATTCATGCTTTAGAATCTATTACTCTAGTTTCGGATTGCACTGCATCAGTATCGTAAACCGACCGTGGATTTTGAAACCCTGCCAAACAGCTGTACTTAAAAAATAAAGTTATCCTCTCGTTTTCTCTAGTTTAAGTATGTCAGCAGTAACTTTCCATTTGATATATTCATGAATCTATTAGTCTAATTCCTTAATAAAAAATACCAGGCGAACAACTGAATCGAAGATAAGAAGATAGAAACAAACAAAGAAACAATGAAGATTGAAGATACAATAACAATCGCATGTTTATGCGAGCATCTGGAATATGACTATTTGTAAGAAATAAATTTGGTGTCTAAACATTGTGTTTATTTGAACCTTTTTAAAGTAAGATAAGATTAAATGATGTCAATCAGATCAAATGTATTCATAATTCAAAAGTGTTTATGTACTAAACGAAGATGCGGTGGTAGTAGTCTGAAGCCGGCGACGTATTGTTCGCTTGTGCTCAAGTATAATTAGCAACAGCGCGAACATATTCCTAAAACTAAGTTTTAGTTCATGTTTGCAGTCATAATCATACGATAAATTCACCGCACGCTAGTTTTACGTGAACAAGACCTTGAAAATATATCATTTTACCAATAACGGCAATGGAATGTAAAACTAATAAAAAGTACGGATAAACTAAAAATTCATCGCTACTACTATTTTGCAGACTTGTAATATCTATCCATCTCTTGTCATCCCTTTCTTTTTTACAAAACAGTGACTACAATATTATGTATTTAATACAAGTAACAACGCCTTTCACGACTTCAATTTTACCAAATTGCCATTATATTTTCGAATGTTTCCATAAACTTGTCACATTTTAATTTTTAAACATTTTCATAGAAACTACAAATAACTCACTAAATTACTACTTCAAAGGTGAATTAGACATTTCTACGTGGATAAGTTTTATCTTTAATTCAGTACAGTTTCAACGAAATAAGCTTAAGTTTTTTATCTTAGTAAAATAGCAGGTTTCGTTTTTTATCTGTGCTGTTACGTCAAACATGTCTTTTTAACGTGTATTGTTTTAAAATATTGTTATTTACTATAAACCTAAAATAACCGGCCGTACCTATGTAAGTAACTCAAAATTTCTTATATTGTTTGATATTTAATTGAATTGTATAACGTTTGAAAAGTTAAACTATGATTTAAAATTTTCTTCCACGACATCTAAAGTCCGCCATTTTGCGCACCTATGATCGTAATCTCTATGGCGCTATAGAAAATGTTTCATCATTTTAACATAAGCTCTTTGGCATTTTTTTAATTATACATTAAATAATTATTAAGACGTTCGGGCTATTGTTATCTTAAAATGTATCGTATTGGAATGGATGAATGACACATGGTAAAAATGTCTTCCTTCAGAAGGTAGTGTATCCTTTGAACATTTCCCGCCGATACAAAGCCGATAGCGAAAAAATTGTAAAGGTTTAGACCTGCTTATACCAAAATTTCGTTCTAATGGAATGGTTCCAAAATGTTATTTCTTAATACTAAAAATAATTTTGTCGTCAAAAAAACAACTTACGCTTTAATTAAGTAAACAGAGGAACGTCAATTGCCATTCAAGGCGGCCATTGCGTCGTTCACCTTTTCGATTATTCTGTGAAAACTGTGATAAAGGAATTGATTTTACAACTGAAGCGCAGTTTTTGTTACATATTTATGTGAAAAAAGTGTATCAGGTACATCTATTTTAGAATTTACGAATTTTAAATAAATGTGTAGTTTGTCTATGGTAAAGGGTTTGGATTGTAACACTGATTAGTTGCGACACGGAAAATAAAAAAAATTACAGCATGCGTGTTTTTTATACATTATCTGTACTGAAAAATGACATTGGATTGTTTTGTCTTTTAACATGTTTGTTAAGGAGTGCGATTTAAAAAAGATTTATTAAAAAGTGTGCAAAATATTCTGCATTTTGCATGTAAGTTTTCTTAAAATTACGATAATTTCAATCAAAACCATTGAATGATGCAGTGTTTGATAGGATGAACAACGATTTCAAATATCTACCCGTCGTACCAAATATCCGCCATTTTGAATATGTCCATAGTGTGGTGTCCATGTTTTTTTTATGTAACAAGTAGAAAAATTTTCCCTTCCAAGATTTTAATCAATCTTTTATATTTATGCCCAGACGGAATAAACTGTCTGAGTAATGATTATTATAATTATCTTTTTTATTTTCGAAAATTCGCGTCACGATTAAGTCTGGGATAACATCTGCAAGTACTAAAATGATCTTTATGTAATCTGAAATCATAATTATGTTCCGATTTCTTGAACGTCAAATACCGTAATGGCGTAATGGCCGCCATGTTGTATACATGTCATTTTACTATTTAATATTTTTTTTTGTTATTTTGTGTATTTAAATTAAGTGAAATAAATAAATATGATACAAAATTATATGTGAGAAACTGTTATATCAAAAAATTATCTAAATTTACGCGGTTTAGCGTAGAATCTGAACTTTTTCTAAGGTGAAATTATTTAGGCTCTGGGTTGAAATCTTACTTAATTTAATATAATGCGAATGTTTGGATGTATGCATGGATGGAGAGATGTTTATTAAAAGTTATATCCAGAACGATGGCATAAATCTCACTGAAGTTTGGCATAGATTTAGAACATAGCCTGGAATACCACATATGTCAATAAAGTTTTTACTTTAATCTATTGCGGGCGGAGAAGCGATCGACAGCTTGTATGATATAAGTGTAATTTAGACCAAATAAAATAAAGAATATGTATGTGTTTGTCTTGGTGATTCGAGTAATTTAGCACCATATCTCGAATAAATTTTACTGCATTGTCATTTTTATCCTTTATTCTCCAAACCAGTATTTAAAGATTCGTAAGTTTCTTGAAACGATTACTTTACGTTGTCAAAATAAATGTTAACAATTGTGGTTCTTAAACATTCGTATCGTACAGTTTGTGTGGAGTATAAATAAACAATACTTAACACGCTGATTTTGCATTCAATACAAACTGACGTTGTAAGATTTCTGTTCAAATTAATAGTTCTGTATTAATTATTTCTCCATTTTCAGCTTGACATGGACGATGACAATAAAAATGTCTTTGTATCAGGCGTCAAGAGAAACTCGTTAATCTTGGAAAATAATCTTTATGAGATTATCCAGAGAGACGTTGCTAAACCCATTCTTTCAAAAATAAGAGATGACGTTGAAGACAACAACACCTTCAATTTCATTCCTTCAGGTGGCAAATTTTATATACCAAAGAAGAAAAGTAAGCTTAAAGTATTAACTATTAGGGATGTACGTGTTATGTATGAAGAAGATATTTTACAAACATTACCTAATGAATTGGAAAAACAACAGAAGCTCCTGCTTAGAAAAATAAAACACGGATTTGCCAAAGATGAAAACACTAAAAGCATTGCTATTAATTTGTTAAAATCGAATAATCCAATTTCTAGACTATCGTGGCAAATGTTAACGAATCTTAATCCAGAAGACAAAATACATTCGTCGCAATATATTTTATGGGACGGAAAATGTATTCGGGTAAATGGAAGCAAAGGTGGAAGAAATAAATTTATATGTAATTATGATGTTTATAGAGGCATGAATAAAGATATTTGTAAAAGAACAACTTCAACAAGAAGTAAACTGTTAAATAAAAAGAGATGTTTGTTGCGTGCCTCATTGGATGTACGGTTTAAGCCTGGGCCACTAAGTAAAAAGAAACGTTTAGATTATTCTTACCAAAAACATAATGTGGGCGAAGTTAAATTAGTAAACTTACCAAAACCGATCTTACATATTCAGCCAATGTACGGTACACCAATAGAACCGACAGTAAAAACATTTTTGCAAACTTTGCGCGAAGATGATGGTACTATATCCGCGAAGTGGGCAGAGTTTGCAGTTTCGATGCTAGGAAAGGTAACAAATCAAGCTGTACATACTGAAAATGAAAATTTTGTCACATTTAACTTAAATTACAAATACAATCAAAATCAAATTTTAATGCGGCAGGACCGTGATAGTTTTCAAGATAAATTAAAAGATAATTTAATCAGTCAAGATCTTTCGTCATGCACAATATATGATGAGTCGACATTGACTTCAGAAGTTAGAACTGTAGTTGACAAAATAGTTGATGCGGTTGAAATAAGTTTAAATAAAGATCTAACTTACCCAGCTTTTGATGAACCCAGAGATATTTTAACTACAAATAAAAGTGAGATTCCTTCTCAAGGCAAAGAAAAAGTTAAACGAAGATATGGAGAGTTAGATAGACTCGACGTAACGGTGATAAGATTATCTGAAAGCCATAAAAAAAATGTTACTGAATCATGTCAACAAACATTTTGTAACTTAGGATGCATTTGCGATTCCTTAGAATGCAATTATAACTTAAAAGATCATTGTGGGAACGTAGATTGCATGTTCAACTGTAAATGTGACTTTTCAAATTATAAATTTACGGATTCCTTAGACGGCGATTGTTCTCATCTCTACCCTGGTTTATATTACTTAGATCAAAAAATTAACGGTAAATTAGCTAAAGAAGAACAAAAATTTCATCAAACTGTTATATTAAAAGACGATAAAAGTATCTTATTAAAGTCCAATAGAAGAAATTGGAAAGCAACAAAAAAATATGCAGATTTTTATAACAGCATGCCATTACGTTCTAAAATAAAAAATAAAAAAATATTGTCTGTTGTGGTGACTAAATTAAATTGTCGTAACATTGAACCTTGGTGTATGGTTCATAACTTATATAAGTGCTTTTGCAAAGGTAAATTTACAGAGAGTTTAACACATGACCCTAGTAAAAACGAGCAGAAACTTTTAATTAATGAAGTCGCTAAAGATAAGGAAGTACTTCCTGTGCCAGATGTTACTGAAAAAGAATCTACTGATTTAAATACCACTGAAATCTCTTATGCAAATACTGTACGTGATAATGCCTATCTAACACCTAACCCTTGTTCAAGAGTGCTACCTTATAAAGGTAGAAATCACGGCATTAAATATTATAAAACAACAAATAAAAAAATTATGGAAATGGAAAAAAATGATATCAGGCTTCAAGCGAAAATGATCAACATTTTAAACCAATCTTATGTATCAGAAAACACGGAGGACGTTAGTGAAAACACGACAGAAGTTAGTGAAAACACGACAGAAGTTAGCGAAAACACGACAGAAGTTAGTGAAAATACGACAGAAGTTAGTGAAAACACGACAGAAGTTAGCGAAAACACGACAGAAGTTAGTGAAAATACGACAGAAGTTATTGAAAACACCACAGAAGATAATGAAAACAAGACGGAAGTTAGTGAAAACCCAACAGAAGTTAGTGAAAACACGACAAAAGTTATTGAAAACACCACAGAAGATAATGAAAATATAAAGGAAGTTGCCGAAAACACAGAGGAAGTTCGCCAAAAACCAGTGGAAGTTACTGAAAATTTGGTTGAAGGTAATGAAAAATCGTCGGAAATTAATACAAAAGCAGAGAAAGTTAATGAAATAACAGAGGAAGATGGAGTTAATGATCGCGTAGATGTCGCTAATGTTCCCTTCAAATTAGATGAGTTGTTGTTCACCATATTACAAGAACAACAAAAATTGATGGATAGCATGAATACGGAGAACAAAGAGGTTGACTTGAGTGATGACGTGACCATAAGACGGACGAAACGATTACCAAATAAAACTAAATTGGTACAATGGCTTGAGACCAGTTATAAAAAATATAAGGAGAAACTAGATAAAGGCTTTTGGAAAACATCGTTAAGTCCTCCGAAGTCTGGAAAAGTTGCCTTGTATCCATGGAATTTTATATTAAGTAGGTATCGTGAAAGAAAAAACCTGTTCCTTATTTCAAAACAGAAACCCTTTCGTATTTTTATGGCTGTCGATACAAGAAATCCTTTCTTTAGTAAATGTATTAATGTCAACCTCATTCCACGATCTCATCTTGATAACTATCCAGTAATGATTCGCAACTTATTAAAAGACGTAAAAGATCAAAATGAGACTTTCTGTATACTCTGTGGTTTATCTCTTTGTTGGGAATTAGTCGGCTCTGTTACTAAGGTAAATGAAAATAAAAACGACGAACTGGCTCCTAATGTTCTTGAAAAGTTGGTGAATCATTCTCAAGTTTTGGTTGAAGCTACAAAAAATGAAACAAATTTGGACAATACTACAACGACCTTAGCTAATAAAGAAATTGCTCAAATTTCAAAATGGTTCGTGATGACGATAGAAGACGATTTTATCGAAATTCAATTTTTTAAAAAAGGTTTCTTTATAAAGTATGATAGTATAGTAAGGGCTATCGTTGTATCAAGACAATTTGGTAAAACTGTTAGATTGTCGTCGCAAAAATGTAACGAAGGAAGTAATGATCCACAATTTGGTTTATATGCGATACCCAATATGCAAGATAACTGTGTATTTATAGGACCATATGAAAAAGATGAACCACTAGGGATAGAAGCTTTAAGAAAATCTGTAATAGTTCCAAGTAAAAACAAAACAAGAGGTATGTGGATAACAGTAAATAAAGTTGATAATGCTGAAGTGATCAATAATCCTCTATCTTTTATGCCATCATTTAATAACGACCGTGACCAGGTAATAACATTTGGAAATGACGGTAACTCGGACTCAAATCACGATATAACACCGTCAACTTCTAAGGACGATGAACAATTTGCAAGTGAAAATTCTGAAAAAAGTCTAATTAAAACCCCGAAATTGGTCAAACCGGTAAAAATAAATAAAGCCGATTGTTTTAAGTTGCCTTTTAAAATTTTGACTAAACCATTACCTGGATGTATTAAAAAGGGAAGTAAAATTATTCTACAAAGCAAGTCACCTTCGGGTACCTCTTTGGAAGATGCAATGATTAGTTTGCAAAAAGAAACTGAGAAGAAATCGAATATAACAAATAATTCTGATTTTAATGAAGCTCTAGCCAATATCGAACCTCAAATTAAAATAAGTAACATTGCATCTCTGTGTGACATAAAATCGCCCGTTGGCAAATTGACGAATAGCAAGAGGCCTGAAAAGGGTATGTTTGTCTTAAAACCTGAAGAAATTAATGAAAGATTAGCGTTTAATTATTTTCGTCTCTTGCAACCCGATAAAGTAAATGAAAGCAGCATCGTGTTACCTACAGAAGAACCTCGCACAGTCCGCGAAGATTCTCTTGATACTGTTGCAAACAGTTCTATGGATGAAAACTCTCTTGAATCTGCTACAATCTGGTCAGTCGTTGAAGACTCTTTTGGATGTCCTGCAAGTAGTTCATCAGTTGTAGACTCATTTGATACCACACCAATTTGTTTAGCCGATGAGAACTCTCTCGAATCCCCTGCTAACTATTCCGTCGGTAAAAACTCTTTCGACTCCTCATCAAAATGTTCTCCACCGGCGACTGACGTTTACGTTATTTCGGACGATGAAGATTCTAATAATTTGTCACATACTAGCTCATGGGAAGAAATATGGATTTCTTGCACAAATATAAAAAACTTAGGATGGATACCGGGTAGAAGAAGCAAGGAAAACAAACTAAGTTTTAAATTTCCAGGTTTTGCATGTACTGATTTTTATGAAGAAGAAGTAGCGTTTAAAAAAATAAATCAGTAAGTACTCCCCATAAAATTATTCCCTTAAAAATCAATTAAAAAGTCCAAAAATAAAATTTTGAAATAAATTTTTTTATACTATGAAATGTTGTAAAGTGACCGCAGCCTTAAACCCTTCAATTTAATGTATAATAGAGAGGGTATTTCTCTTTTCTGCATGTTCCCTTTCTCCATTATTGTAACTTATCCTCATACATCAGTCGAAACATTACTATTACTATAAGTCTGGTTTCTGATATCGTGGTATTTCATTCACACCTATTCGGCAATAAAAGTTAATTTGTTTGCTAAACCACTATTATTTTTCTTTAATTTCAGAGTATTCACGAGAAAAGTGTACGTTCTAAAAACTATAAAAATGGAATGGCGAGTTGTTAATAACGTAGCGGATATAAATGTGGAAGATGAATTGACTTCAGATTACTTAAACGCAGATTATGTAAGTATACAAAACATTGTTATTGTATTTAACATTAAATGCACTGCTTTTGTTCAAATCATGAACTTCTTACAATAAAGCAATAGAATCATTTTCTTAGTTAGTAATATTGTAATTTTAGGTGTTAACAAAATACGGCTTAGTACATAAAAACAGTTTGGTATTAAGAGGAAAGAAGAGAGTTCAGAAGGATAACAAATTATTAAGCAGTAAAAAATTAAGAGTTGAAGATGAAACTGAAAGCGATAATGATAAAATTGAAGCTGAGTATATTAACCTACCAGAGGATAAAGATAATTCAGATGTCGACGTATCAGGTGATGATACAAAAAGTGACGATAATGATAAAGATTTTAGTGATGATTTATTCGAAGATAAAGACAAAATGGACGAATACCGTAAAGTATTTGGTTGTGCTCCTACCATGGCGTCAATTGCCAAGAGAATGAAACAATTCTCTACAATATTAAGTAAAAAGGTGGGTTAATGGCTTACAATAGTTAAATTAATACGCTAAATTGACTTAGGTAAACAAATCTTTAAGATTTAAAATGATGGATTCCTTCTGAAGTACATACCAAGATTCTCTTTTACCAATACTTTTTAATTAATCACCAAATTCTATAAATGACTGCATATACTCAAAGCTAAAAGTTAAATGTACGTTTTGATTTGCAGGAAGTTTCAAAACTTGACTCAGCTGATTGAAATCTATATCACTGCATAATAAGAGGATAAGTTTATATAAAATATACAGATTTCTTTTTAATTTTTACACATATCTCTCAGAAAATGATAAGCAAACTTTGTGTAACATATAAGTGATGTTTCTGGGGCGTGTATATAAATTGGCTAATCGTCAAGTTTGATTTTTTTTCTGTTCTAACGAGCAGTTGACAATTGGATGTTATTTGTTACGTTAGTTAAATATATCAGAGGTAATAAGGACCTTTGGAGTTGCTTAAATTTTTCAGACTGCGGTTTGTTCCAGTGATTTTGATTAGTTTTAAGAATTTGTTGAAGACTGTTGTTTTTTTTGTAATTAAAATATCATATATAACTTTCGTAAATAGTATATCCACACGGTCGTTCTTATTATCCGGACAAAGTTTGGTTATATTTTTTTTCTTGAAGGCGTTAAATGATGTAGATTTTTTAATTTCAGTTTTACTCTTTGATGTCTTTTAGGGTCTGTAATTAGAAGACTATTAAAAATGTTACCTTTTCTATAATTTTGTTATACCTAAACGTATGGATCTCTCCCTCTAACATCTGGCCTCTCCCTTTAACATACATTGTCATCGCCTTGCCAAATATAATTAATTAGTACTAAACATTGTAAATATGTAAATTTAAGTTTTAAAAAGTTTGAATCGGATTCGATAATTACTTTGGTTCAAACATAGTACTAGATTGATACATAAAAATGTATGTTAGTATTTGTGTATGGTGAGGTTTGTTCGTCATACGTATATTGTACTGAGAAATTTAATTGATTATTGTTTATTTCAAATTATCTCTAAGACTAAAATTTTTAACAAGTCGGACTGTATTGAAATAAGAAACGAGGATTTTTTTATTTTACCTTTTGGACATCCTCACAACAAAATTCCACTCCACCGACACTGATTTAAAACTTAATATGTACAATATTATTATAATTACTTATGTCTGGTTTACATTATACCAGTACAGTAGGACATGAGCACTTAAAATGGACTGTACTGGAATAATGTAAATAGGGCAATAAAGACTATGTCACTAATTCTTAATTACAGTTTACATCCAAACAAATTTTTATCGAATTTCGGTTTTAGACATAAGTTTAAAAAGTGTAAAAATGTTAATATCGTCGTGTAGTCGCAACTAGTTATTTTTGTTTCTCTCAATGAAAGAAAACATAAATTTTAACCTTTTTTGTGTTTGAATTCGTCCACGAGAATTTGTATGAAATTTCTGTGATATTATTTTTACTTAAGTTTATAATTAATGTAAGTTTTTATTTTTAAGATACGGAACATGTTAATCCTTATATTTTTAACATTTAAACTGGGTTTATTCAATTATAAAATTTATTTTCTTTTTCACAATACATTTTTTTAATATATGTATGTAATTTGTGATTATAAAAAAGTCAGTGAGGAGTAATTTCGAAGGCTTGATTCTTTTTAATCTAACCACATTTAAAACGTTAAAGCACTTGGTTTATGAAGAATACAATTCCCATATAAATAGTATAGCCGAATATATAATATATTTCCGAATAAATAACCCATCGTAAATTCATAATACAGCAATAAACTGTACAAAAAAATAATATCATTGTATTTGAATAAAAGATGACGTTTTATGTAACATCGTACGAAAACCACAAAAAACATACGGATCTCAGCATCTGGAGGTATATAATATAATAAAGTATGTGTTAGGTCTTATGTACATATATATGTAATCTATTCAATGTTCCTTGTCAACCAGTTAGTTTTTATATTAGATATTGTCCAGTGCTTTACGGCCTTATAGTTTTACTTTAATTTCGTTATGACGTTATTCTTCAATTTATTATTTTTACTTCATGTTTTATTCTTAAGCCATTCTATTACAGGATGTGTAATGGTTTCAATAAATACTTCAGTTAATATGTACTGCTTTTATTTTAATATTTAATCAAGAGGCGTTTCGATCGGCCCAATGTGATAGAAATTCCCAGTGATTATTAGGTCTGGTACCCCAACGGGATACGCCCTTATTAGGGAGAAAGGAAGACAACTGTTGTAGGCTAACTCTTAGATTAACCAAATCTGTTAATCTATATATAACATAGTGGAGTTATCAATATCGAATAAGTTTTGGTCCTTCGAGCCGGATTTTATACATTTACTCCAAGTCGAATTTATCATTAGTAGAATACGCAGAAAAACAACATTAAGATTTTTATATCTTATTTAATTCAAACGAAATATATTTTAGTTCTTACAGTAGGTTAGAACAAAATATAACTATACAATTTTGTTAACCCTGGTCTTTGCTATAAACATGCTAAGTAATCTGAAAGCCTAGTTTTGTAAACAATTAAAAATACAAAATGGAACATGACCACTAAAACAGGAAATAAGTCGACTAATATAATTCAAATGACATTGTCTATAAATTATTTTTTCATATTTTTAATCTGTTTACATTATCATAAAGACAATAACTTTGTAATTAAACTTCGTCTAATAAATATTAACAAGGTTAATCTGTAGCAATTGTAAAATATTTAATTTAATACATTTTGTTCACGTAAAAATAAAATAATTAATTGGTATTATTTAAAAGTATATTTCGAGATGCTGCAAAATGAAATAAGTAAAAGAAAATATTTAAAATACAAACTCTTACTATAATATACATTTTATCATCTAAACTAGTGTCAAAATTCTATAGTTAATCTAAATATGAGGCGTTAGTTCTGTAAAATATATTCCTATGGTTAATATAACGTAGCAGAGTTTGCATTTATCTAATATATTTATATATCTTTTGTTACAAGGGCGGGATTACAATATGCAATAAATATTTCTTTTAACTGCAATATATTTTTTTAAACCAGGAGATATCGATTTTTTATTAACAAAAAATAGTTTCGTAATGATTAATGCTTGAAAATTGTTAAAAAAAAATACTAAAATGGTGATGATTTTTTGAACGATTTAAGCATATCACTTTTCTATAAAAATAGCCAGCTACATGGTTAGAAATATAATTTTTTGTATCTGACAGTTATTTCATTTTTAAGATGTCTGCAAAATTGTTGTACGTGGTTGATTGAACGCGCTAATTATAAATTATATTATACTAACGTTAAACTTATTATCAGGACGACTGATCGGAAAAATGTAACAAATATATATCTGTTGAGTTGAGAGGCATTACTGTAGGAATGTAGAGGTTGATTGTTGAGAGGCAGAGTGATGATTTTTTTATCAATTTTTTTAATTGTTTTGCAAACCATGATCCAATAGTCCTGTATTATAAAATAGTTATTGCTTTTATAATTTTAATACATTTAAATTTTAAACAATAGCGTTTTTTGTCATAGAAATGAACTTTATACACAGTTATACTGATATATTAAATGATTATTTTTTATGAGTTAATTATGTTCAGTGGAGGGTCGCCTGGAGTTGTTCCTTTGCGGGATAACGAACTCAGCATGTCGCGGCGCGCTGAAGGGGTTGGTGGCGGAGAAGGGCGCGCTCACTGAAGCCTGGCGCTGCGCCGGCGCACGACGCACTGGACTCGATGATCTACCGATAAAACAATTGAATCTACTTATGTTATATTAGACTTAGTGTGTATTTAATATGAGAAATCTCATACTAAACACACACTAAGGATGTTGATTAGTGACCAATTAATGTGTCTGAGTGCGGCGGGAAAGTTGTGTTGCAAGTAGCTTAAGTAGCGTAAGCTTAGTACTTAGGAACTGTGTTGAGGTCTGCGGCGGCGGAGAGCTGTCGCGGAGGCAGCGCGGGCGGCGGGCCGGTTGGCCGCGTGCCGCTCACACGGGGAGGCACCTGCAGTTCAACAACATCATAATCCTACATATTCAAAAACTGAACGTATTGATGAAATTAGCTTGAGGGTACGTAGTTCAATATTAGAAGCGTATACTTACTACAGGTGGGTCGTGGGGGCGGAGCGGCGCGGCCTGCGAGTGCGCGCGCGTCAGTCTCTGCTGCAGAGGCGCGGGAGGAGTAGGGGGCGGAGGGCGACGCGGAGGCAGGCTCTCGGTGCGCGCGGCCATCGCCTTCTCCTGCAAGTCTCGCCTCTCCACACTGCCTCGCCTATCCGCCTCCGCTCTACTCGGGCTGCCGGACTCCCCCCGACTAGGAGTAGAACGTAGCTCTTCCTGTCTCTCCGGACTACTTCGAGGCTGCTCCGTATACTGCTTGGAAAGGTTCCGGTGCTGTCTGTCCGGCGGTGTTCGTTGTTTTTCAGGTGTGATTCTAAAGTCGCCATCGCCGCTGTTGTTTTTATACGTCGATCTTGATTCTATCCGACTGTCTGATTTTTCAATCTGAAAAGAAATAAGTTGCTTGGAATTTTATGCCTTCATTCATTCCTTGGCTGCACCCTGAGGACGACGGAGGATAGTTTACTATTGAGTTCAATTGTTAAATTATGCAGCTAACGTCATGAAAAGCTTACTTGTGAGGTAGCTCGTATGGTGGGCGACGCAGGCTCAGGCATGTCTGAGGTAGAACTTCTTCTGGACCCGGATTGCGGTGAAGCTGTAGGCTTGGCTTGCGGGATCCCTGGGGGCTTGGCTTGGGGGGTCCCTGGGGGTTTGGCTTGGGGTTCCGGCGTAGTTGGCGGCAGACGCGCCGCCTGCTCCAGTATCGCCTTGCGTTGTTCCTGTCCCGCCGCAAAGTACGAGAACACGCACAACACCGCGTAGCAAATCTGATCCGCCTATACATACTAAATGGTTACTGACTGACTGACTAGCGTTTGAATTAATATAAATTAGTTAAGTCGATTGACTCAAAATATTCGCACAATAAACAACACAATATTAATAAACCAATGCAATATTGTAGTAGTATTATTTTAAAGTGCAGATAAATAATAATTTAGACATAATTAAAAATATTTAAGATAATAGAATAATGTATAAAATTGTTTTAGAAAAACTCATGCTTATTTTTGCCTAGAATTTTCGTACCAAATACACAAATGTATATTAATAGTAAATCTCTCTTAAAAATATTAAATTATACTAGCATTAGAAATATAGCATTTAATGTAAATATAAAAAATCCATACAATTAATTTATTATGTAGTATTATAATTTCTTAAAAATATTTAATTTAAAAGCGACACTAGCAAAGACGATTGAAGAATTTATTCTTTACCTTTACTTTACTACAATTACATTTAGCTATTACTAAAGTAAAATACCACTAAAGTGTGATTTTTAAAAAGTTCTAAAGCAGCTCCAAAACACAGTGATTTCATCTTTAGTCTTAAAGGCAATTGTAGTTTGTAATATTTATTGTTAACTTTAAAAAAACATCATTTATACTTATTTGTAATTGTGAACAATGATTATGACAATTTAATGACGATGAACAAAACCCAGCCACGTAACAAGTATATAGCCACACTGAGGGTCATTTAATGATCATTAAGAGAACCGCTTAGTGTAAATTTAATGAAAGAAATCTACACTAAGGATTGCTTGACGAAACTGCAGTAAAGAACAAGTATAAGTAAATACAATAATATGCGGAAGAATTGTAAGAAGGTAAGACGATACATAAAGAATAAAATAAAGTAAAATAGATCGATGAGAAAGATCCATAGCAAAAATAATAAAAAGACGTGCAAAAATAAAATAGGTAGTGAAAGTACATACATCGGAGTGTGTTATGAGACACAAGGTGCATAATTTGCGTCGGTGCCTTCTGTCTCGATAACTATATAGTACCGAGAAAGCCATATGGAGAAGAAACGATGAAGATCAAGCACTACTTTCTCTGCCTATAACATAAGACATGGGATCGTGAAAAAAAAAACAAAAACAACATTAAACACTGGATGCAGAGAACTGTAGTTGTGTACTTGCCATTATCGATTTGTATCTCCTTTGAATTATCTGCCTTGTTTTAGGATCTGTAACAATTATAAGGAATAATTTGAATATATTCTTAGCAGTTATTTTATAACAGTGGTTGAATCCGCAGCAGCAATTTGAAATATCACGACCACACAGAAGACAGGCATCAAGTAAAAACACATAAATAAAAAATGCAACTTACTAAATTCTTCTAAAACGAAGATACCGCCGTTTTGTGTGAAGCACTTCCGAATGTGGTCGAGCCGCACAAAGAACTGCAACATAAAATACAAGTCAGTTCGTACACACCTAGTGTTTTTGATTTTATAATAATTACAAGAATTATATACATCGCAAATGTGAACAATGCCGATGATGCCAATTTGTTGTTTATGTCCA